GTAGTAGTAGTAGTAGTAGTAGTAGTAGTAGTAGTAGTAGTAGTAGTAGTAGTAGTAGTAGTAGTAGTAGTAGTAGTAGTAGTAGTAGTAGTAGTAGTAGTAGTAGTAGTAGTAGTAGTAGTAGTAGTAGTAGTAGTAGTAGTAGTAGTAGTAGTAGTAGTAGTAGTAGTAGTAGTAGTAGTAGTAGTAGTAGTAGTAGTAGTAGTAGTAGTAGTAGTAGTAGTAGTAGTAGTAGTAGTAGTAGTAGTAGTAGTAGTAGTAGTAGTAGTAGTAGTAGTAGTAGTAGTAGTAGTAGTAGTAGTAGTAGTAGTAGTAGTAGTAGTAGTAGTAGTAGTAGTAGTAGTAGTAGTAGTAGTAGTAGTAGTAGTAGTAGTAGTAGTAGTAGTAGTAGTAGTAGTAGTAGTAGTAGTAGTAGTAGTAGTAGTAGTAGTAGTAGTAGTAGTAGTAGTAGTAGTAGTAGTAGTAGTAGTAGTAGTAGTAGTAGTAGTAGTAGTAGTAGTAGTAGTAGTAGTAGTAGTAGTAGTAGTAGTAGTAGTAGTAGTAGTAGTAGTAGTAGTAGTAGTAGTAGTAGTAGTAGTAGTAGTAGTAGTAGTAGTAGTAGTAGTAGTAGTAGTAGTAGTAGTAGTAGTAGTAGTAGTAGTAGTAGTAGTAGTAGTAGTAGTAGTAGTAGTAGTAGTAGTAGTAGTAGTAGTAGTAGTAGTAGTAGTAGTAGTAGTAGTAGTAGTAGTAGTAGTAGTAGGAGGAGGAGGAGGAGGAGGAGGAGGAGTAGTAGTAGTAGTAGTAGTAGTAGTAGTAGTAGTAGTAGTAGTAGTAGTAGTAGTAGTAGTAGTAGTAGTAGTAGTAGTAGTAGTAGTAGTAGTAGTAGTAGTAGTAGTAGTAGTAGTAGTAGTAGTAGTAGTAGTAGTAGTAGTAGTAGTAGTAGTAGTAGTAGTAGTAGTAGTAGTAGTAGTAGTAGTAGTAGTAGTAGTAGTAGTAGTAGTAGTAGTAGTAGTAGTAGTAGTAGTAGTAGTAGTAGTAGTAGTAGTAGTAGTAGTAGTAGTAGTAGTAGTAGTAGTAGTAGTAGTAGTAGTAGTAGTAGTAGTAGTAGTAGTAGTAGTAGTAGTAGTAGTAGTAGTAGTAGGCACTTCACCCCATTTTTTGAAATCGCGTTTTTTCCAGGTTTATCATCGGCAATCGATGGTGGTGGGTATCACAAGGTCACACAGAAAATTTTATTGAAATCCACAGTGATACCACTCAGATATGAAGGGTTGAAGATAGGCAGTTGGATGAGGCGAAATCAATACAATTTGTGGCACCAACAGCATCTCCGAAGTATCATCAGTGGATATAGTCACAAAACATCAGAGTGTTTTTTTCAAGCACACATCACTCACTTACACCGACAACCCTGTATGGATCGAAACAATACAGATCAAAGTTCAGAATAGGCAAGAATACGGCAATTGTGACCGCAATCACTATAGCAACTCCATAGCAACCCATAGCAACGCCATAGTAACCCATAGTAACAGCTTCAGTTTGCTGTGAAATGAACTGATAACGACATACTGGCAGGCTCCTGCGGGTACAAAAGCGTAAGAGTTATAAAGACATTCTTCTGGCACAAAAACAACAGAGAACTTCCTTGTTGTACGCCGGACACCGCAACGTGGAGCCTGGAGGGTATGTACGCGCGCGCGCGCGCGCGCGCGCGAATTACTGCACAGGACATTCGTGCTCACAGTCATGCCACTTCAAGTGATTCCAAGTTGGCAAGAAGTTCTTCAGGACCTCTGTTGGTAGCTTCTTTCCATGGTGTGATATCTGCCTCCCTATCCTTCAACTGCTCCATGCAGCAGCCTGCTGGTGAGCTTTGAAATTTTGGTGAAGCGTGCCTGGCTGCGTATATCAAAGCATCCCCTCATCAGAGGGTTTCTCCAGCAGCCACTGTGCCTTTTGATTGTTCGTAAACATCAGTAGGCCTTCCAGCGCAACCGTGTCAAAACTTGGCTTTCAGTACGCTTTGAGAATTCGCCCAGGTAGGACGACGCATCGTCGTTCTCCTCCGCCTAAAGCGCATACTTCTCAGTGCCTACGTACATAATGTCTCCTTGCGCAGCGATGCGCAAACCCTGGTAAACAAGAACTCTACTGTTTCCGAATGGAAAGACGACGCTGAAGACGATAAGCAACGTTTCAAACGCGAGCAAACAACAGTTCTTTGTGAAAAAACTCTTTGCTGGTTGTGTACGTGATCTACAACTCGCAAAAATGTACGCACTATGACGTATGCGGGATCTACTGAAAGCTGAACGTCAGAGCAACACGATGCGCCCAACTATCAGCCCGTACAACGAAGCATAGCGCGTACCTGTACAGTTTAGCGCTTGCACTTGACTGGTGCCACGCAAGTACGCATTCTCACCTCAGCAAATTTTGACAGGTCCTGTCATGTGACTGAAGTGCCTAGTAGTAGTAGTAGTAGTAGTAGTAGTAGTAGTAGTAGTAGTAGTAGTAGTAGTAGTAGTAGTAGTAGTAGTAGTAGTAGTAGTAGTAGTAGTAGTAGTAGTAGTAGTAGTAGTAGTAGTAGTAGTAGTAGTAGTAGTAGTAGTAGTAGTAGTAGTAGTAGTAGTAGTAGTAGTAGTAGTAGTAGTAGTAGTAGTAGTAGTAGTAGTAGTAGTAGTAGTAGTAGTAGTAGTAGTAGTAGTAGTAGTAGTAGTAGTAGTAGTAGTAGTAGTAGTAGTAGTAGTAGTAGTAGTAGTAGTAGTAGTAGTAGTAGTAGTAGTAGTAGTAGTAGTAGTAGTAGTAGTAGTAGTAGTAGTAGTAGTAGTAGTAGTAGTAGTAGTAGTAGTAGTAGTAGTAGTAGTAGTAGTAGTAGTAGTAGTAGTAGTAGTAGTAGTAGTAGTAGTAGTAGTAGTAGTAGTAGTAGTAGTAGTAGTAGTAGTAGTAGTAGTAGTAGTAGTAGTAGTAGTAGTAGTAGTAGTAGTAGTAGTAGTAGTAGTAGTAGTAGTAGTAGTAGTAGTAGTAGTAGTAGTAGTAGTAGTAGTAGTAGTAGTAGTAGTAGTAGTAGTAGTAGTAGTAGTAGTAGTAGTAGTAGTACTTGGTCCGTTTCATCGCAATTGTCGCTTATCTCCCACGCACCTTTTGACAGGTAAAACCCAGTCCGATCTCGATATCTAACTCACATTCGTTTGGGAGGTTGTGATGGCAAGATCAGAGGAGACCAGAAAGAAAAAACCATCGCGACTAGCGCCAGTGGCATCGCGATTCATACAATTTTGATGGAAAAGTGGGAAACTTTTCGCTGCAGTGAATGCACGCATTCACTGCAGCGAAAAGCCAAGCGCAGCTCAAAGACCGGAACTGTAGCAGGGGAAATCGACATCCTGACCTGGAGAGCGTGACAGTCACGGCCAGGCCAGCCAGCTCAGTTGTTTGAACTGCAATGTTTGAACTGCAATGACCTGGTATTCTTTGCAAGCCTGCAAACTGATGCCTTGGTGGCGAGATGGTGGCAAAGAAGACATTGTCCGAACTGGCAGCGGCAGTACAAGAGTCGTGGTCAGCGTATCCAGCAGAGCGTATGACAGCTGTCTGGAGAGGGATGTGTGCCTGATTCAAAAACATTGTTGAACACATAGTACTGTAGTGACAGACGGGTCACGCTGCCCATGTTCCTCCAAGTGCCAAAGTGACAACCGCGACTGTTCCTTTCCCGTCGCTGCTATACGCCAAGCGGAGAAAGCAAGAGATACGGTACTCTACGCTAGCAGCTATACACACCAGTGAATGTGAGCTCAAGTGGCATCAAGTCGGATAAACTAAAGCCTGAGTGCAAGAAGGCGCTCCGTCGCTGTTTTCTTCTGTACATTTTTTGTAACCTTGCTTCCTTTCTTCGACTTGCTTCATCAGATTCCATCGCTGAATTTATTTCTTGTGGCGGACAGGAATCCTGTATCATGCTTCTTCACTGTGCGTATTGGAAATTTCACAGAGCGGTAAAAAAACTCCTGTTCTTAGTTGCGATAGATAAGCGACAATTGCGATGAAACGGACCAAGTAGTAGTAGTAGTAGTAGTAGTAGTAGTAGTAGTAGTAGTAGTAGTAGTAGTAGTAGTAGTAGTAGTAGTAGTAGTAGTAGTAGTAGTAGTAGTAGTAGTAGTAGTAGTAGTAGTAGTAGTAGTAGTAGTAGTAGTAGTAGTAGTAGTAGTAGTAGTAGTAGTAGTAGTAGTAGTAGTAGTAGTAGTAGTAGTAGTAGTAGTAGTAGTAGTAGTAGTAGTAGTAGTAGTAGTAGTAGTAGTAGTAGTAGTAGTAGTAGTAGTAGTAGTAGTAGTAGTAGTAGTAGTAGTAGTAGTAGTAGTAGTAGTAGTAGTAGTAGTAGTAGTAGTAGTAGTAGTAGTAGTAGTAGTAGTAGTAGTAGTAGTAGTAGTAGTAGTAGTAGTAGTAGTAGTAGTAGTAGTAGTAGTAGTAGTAGTAGTAGTAGTAGTAGTAGTAGTAGTAGTAGTAGTAGTAGTAGTAGTAGTAGTAGTAGTAGTAGTAGTAGTAGTAGTAGTAGTAGTAGTAGTAGTAGTAGTAGTAGTAGTAGTAGTAGTAGTAGTAGTAGTAGTAGTAGTAGTAGTAGTAGTAGTAGTAGTAGTAGTAGTAGTAGTAGTAGTAGTAGTAGTAGTAGTAGTAGTAGTAGTAGTAGTAGTAGTAGTAGTAGTAGTAGTAGTAGTAGTAGTAGTAGTAGTACACTCTACTCGTCCACAGCATAATTTCTCGTTGGCGATACTGTCTAAGGGCGGTCAGCTGTGAGGCTACACGGTTTGCGAAACTAGATCAGGCCATTCGGGAAATTGTTGCCCGCAGTCTCCGACATGATTTTGCAAGATGATGACCCGCTGCGATGTTTAATTTCACTGCCTTGTCGAATGGGTGGGTTAGGTATCCCCAAGATCTCAGATTCTTGCGGGGTCGCGCACATAGAGTGCGAGCACACGGTGCATCCCATCGTCGAATTGTGTGTGCCTCAATTACAGGAACAGCCTGCAGCATCATCTAGGTCTCAAAGCCTAGATGGGTCTCAAAGCCTTCATGTTGCATCGCCTCCTGCCGAATCGTCGGCGGCTTCTCTCGACACGCAATCATACGATGTTGGAGAGGATGCAGGTGAGGAGGATGGTGATAATTGGCCGCCGCCACGACCTCCTGTGACAGCGCCATCTCACAGAGCTCGCAGCCTCATCAGCAATGCAGTCACGGAGTGTCGCAGGCGCCTGCAGAGTACCCGCAAGAACAGAGTTCGTCAAGGACAACAGACTCTCAACGACATCAAGGACAGTTTGTCTGTAAGCCAACGGTTTCTGGTAAACATTTGCAGTGGTGCCAGCAAAGGAGTCTCATCCTGGCTCACGTCATCACCAGGAGTTGTCAATGGGACGGTATTGAATCGCTCGGATTTCAGAGATGCTATCGCCATTCGTTACGGCTTGCAGCTGGATGGCCTATCCCCGAATTGTGTGTGCGGCAAGGCAATGACAGTGTACCATGCGATGACCTGCCCTTGCGGAGGGTATCCATCCGCCAGACACAATGAGGTCCGGGATCTCCGTGCAGATGTAATGCGTGGAGTTGTTCAAGACGTGGAGGTCGAGCCGAAGCTCCTTCCATATCAGGAGGAGCAGCTCCAGGGGGTGACGGCGAATCGCTCCGTTGAGGCTCGTGTTGATATACGGGCTCGTGGTTTTTGGACGCGGCAGCAGGAGGCCTTCTTCGATATCCGGGTGACGCACCCTAGGGCTAGCCCGCTGTCGTGTTCCAAAGTCACGAGTCAATTGGAGCGTAACGAAGGAGAGAAGAGGCGGCAGTATGGCGAGAGGATCAATACAGTTGATAGAGGGAGTTTCACTCCGCTGGTGTTCGCGACAAATGGCATGGCTGGGAAGGAATGCACCATATTTTTGAAATATCTGGTAAGCCTGATTCTCGAGAAGAATATCGATCTATCGTACTCTGTTGTGATGAGTCATTTGCGCTGCCGTTTATCGTTTTGTCTCCTTCGTTGGTGTATCACTTGTTTGCGTGGCTGCAGAGCATCCTATCGTACTAAGCGCTCTGCAAATTTTGTTCATGAATGTCGTGTACTGTCGCGTGTTTAAATGACTTGCTCAGTTTGCAAAAGATCTCCAGTTATGTTTTTTTTTAGTTTAGTTTTTTTTTTTTTTAGTTTAGTTTTTTAATTTTGTTTTGTTTTTCTATTACGAATGTCCTCTTCAGTGTAATCCCTGTTTCGTGCTTTGGAGTTTGAGTTACAATTGTGTTCTTTTCTTGTTTTCTCGCTACCTTCTCTGATTATTGATTTTGAATTGCCTTCATCATTGTTTTGCTTTTTGTTCCTTTTCCATATTTATAACTTCGGGTTCTTTCAAATAAAGATTTTGACTAGTAGTAGTAGCAGCAGCAGCAGCAGCAGCAGCAGCAGCAGCAGCAGCAGCAGCAGCAGCAGCAGCAGCAGCAGCAGCAGCAGCAGCAGCAGCAGCAGCAGCAGCAGCAGCAGCAGCAGCAGCAGCAGCAGCAGCAGCAGCAGCAGCAGCAGCAGCAGCAGCAGCAGCAGCAGCAGCAGCAGCAGCAGCAGCAGCAGCAGCAGCAGTAGTAGTAGTAGTAGACAATATATTCATCTACGGCGAAACGGATCAAGTCCACGATGAGCGCCTGCATGCCTGCCTGCAACGCCTACGTGCCCACAATGTTACCCTCAACCTGGCGAAGTGCCAGTTTCGCCAAACCCGCCTGGCCTTCATGTCGACTATCTACAGTCGCCGGGGCACTCAGGCTGCACCACACCACAAAGAGAGCATTGCTGTTTTCGCCACACCCAAGTCAGCTTCCGATATCAAGAGTTTCCTGGGTTTGGCGACATTCATGCGCCATTACATCCCCGACATGGCCACCAAGACGGCACCCCTGCGGAAACTCCTTGGCAAGGGTCATCAGTGGGATTGGTCACCCGAGGCTCAGGCAGCATTCGATGCCATCAAAGCCGACATAGCAGCTGATCGGGCCCTCGCCTACTTCGACCGTACCAAACACACTCACCTTTACGTCGATGCCTCACCCGTTGGCCTTGGCGCCATCCTCTGCCAGTCTCCTGAAGCAGTCGTCCAGGATCACTCCGAGCTGAAACCAGTCGCATTCGCAAGCCGCAGCCTGACCCCCACTGAGCAGCGTTATTCGCAAACGGAACTCGAAGCCCTCGGTGTGAAGTGCGGCTGCTTGCGCTTCTCCCATTTCCTCAGCGGCGACCCCGGCTTCACGGTCCACACCGACCACAAGCCCCTTCTACAGCTGCTTCACCCGTCTTCACGACCTCCACCCCGCATTGAACGGATGGCTCTCAAGGTCCAAGACCTCCACTTCAAGCTGGTGTATGAACCTGGCCCTTCCAACCCAGCAGACGTCTTGAGTCGTCACCCTCAGCCACATCCTCCCCTGCCGAATGTTGGTGAGGAGGAGGACACCGCCTATATCAATGCCATTGCGCAGTCCTCTGTTCCCAACGCCCTCCTCTTGTCCGACATCCAAGGCGCAACTCGAGCAGACTCAACGCTCCAGGCCGTGCTGCTGTCACTGCAGACGGGCATATGGGACGACAAGGCAGTGGACATCCGCCCTTTCTACACGCAAAGGCATGAACTCTCCGCCGCCGACGGTCTCCTGCTCAAGGACCATCGTCTGGTGATTCCACTGTCTCTCCGAGAGCGGACACTTCAACTGGCCCACTCCGGCCACCAAGGCATGACACGGAGCAAGCAACGACTGTACACGAAAGTCTGGTGGCCTGGCATGACAACCGCTGCGGAATCCCTCTGCCGCCAATGCCTCTCCTGTCAGGCAAACACGCCAACAGGCCCATACAGGCCGGAATCCACACCGACCCCACCATCGACGGCGCCATGGCAACGGGTGTTTGTCGACCTGTATGGCCCCTTGCCAGGCGGAAGCACACTCTTGGTTGCGGTGGACCAACTGAGTCGCTACCCAGTCACTCACGTGTTCAACTCCACTCCCGCTACAGCTGGCGTACTTGCAGTGCTCCGCAGTGCGTTCGCAGCATTCGGCCTGCCAGAAGAAGTGGTCTCTGACAACGGCCCCCAGTTCCGCTCGGCGGAGTTCAACCGTTTCCTGGCCCAGATGGGCATCGCTCACCGTTGCACGCCTCCTCTCTGGCCCCAAGCAAATGGTGCAGTGGAGCGGATGAACCGCACGGTCGGCAAGGTCCTCCGTGCTGCCCAACTGGATGGCCGAGATTTGCGTGCTGCACTTGACGAGTGGCTACTCGCATACCGCACCACTCCCCACCCCTCCACAGGCCTGCCGCCAGCTACCATCATGTTCGGCCACAGCATCCGGGACACTCTCCCCAGCCTGTGCACGGCCCCAGCACCAGATGCGACCGTCACGGCGAACAAGGAGCATGCGTTCCGCGCCCGCCAATGCGAGGCGGCGAACCACCATCGCAGTGCGCAACCGGCTTCGACCATCACTCTGAAGCCGGGTCAACAAGTTCTGCGCAAGAACGAACGGCAGCACAACAAGCTCGACTCAATCTGGGATCCAAACCCATGGACTGTGGACGAGATGACGGGCTCCACCGTGGTCATCACCCATCCAGTCACAGGCCAGCGGGTCTCTAGGCATGTGTCATTTATGAAGCCGGCTCCCGCTATCGTGGTTCATCCTCCGTCGCCCGAGCCTCCACTACCTACCCCGCCGCCACCACCGACAACACCACCCCTGCCCCACTGGCGGCGTCAGCAGCCACCGCGCTCGGCCCAGGCGGTCCACAAATATGTCCAGACAGCACGCACCACCTGATGTATGTGTGCATCAAGTCCACCCTGAATCTCAGACTGGCTTCAGTTTTTTTCCCTTTTATCCTTTGTGTGACTGTTTACCTGCTCCGCCTTTTCTATCTGTAGCATAGGGAGAGGGACAGCCTGACATCAAGTCATTTATCCACGCCTCGTGTTTTCAGTTTTCAGTTTTCCACTTTTCACCCTACGTTTTTCATCTGTGCTTGGGAGAGATGTAGTGTTCACGTGTTCCTACGTGCTGTGGCATTCCTTGGCCACTCCAGACATTCATGATGCATGTAGTAGTAGTAGTATATCGTGATGTTATGCATGTAGCATGTGCCGTTTCCCGCGCGCCCGTGAAACGGACTTCTCGACTTTTAGTTGCTGTGCATGGTTTGACTCTGGACTCTTGTTGTTTTGGACTGAAGAAGAAACAATACTTCACCATGTTGTACATAATAAACTTGAAAAATAAAAAAAGTTATGGCATGAACAATGTTGGTCGGTTTTTGCTGTACAAATACCTAAAACGGTAAAGGGTTAAACTTTGACGACAAGTATGTCGATATTTCCTTGTACATCACGCACGTTTGTGTCTTTTTAGGACTTTTTTTATATTTTCTGTGTGACCTATTCTGCGCTACCATGCGTATAAGCACCTTATTCACTCGCAAACAGGCAAACAGGCTGATAATGATAATGAAAATATCCTTTTGTTGAGGGAATAGAAAAGGGAAAAGTCTGAAGGAAAAATCTACTGCCACTGCCGGAAATAATAATAATTTAGAACAGATGGAATCCTGAAACTTAGATTATGGCGTAATTAGAACATACTGCTCAATAAGAAGTTTCACCCGCGACCGGTTTCTGTCACTACGATTTCCAAATATCAATTTCTGAAGATTCCAACCTCGAACTGGGTATGTCCGATCAATTAGAAGTCCCACCGAATCCACCTACATAGAAAATGGGTGGGATTTGTGCTGATAATTCTAAGTTAGCAAAGCATATTTAGATGTTCGCTTTATTTTCTAAAAATCAGTTTCGTTTCCATGCGCAGGCAGTTTAGTGTCCACTAAACTTGCCTCTCAGGTGCATAGTGCAAGTATGTGTGTCAATGCCGGCATTTTTGACATACATAATGACAGTAAGAATATCCGGATAATTGGAAATTTTCCATAGCACTTTGGGGTTCGAATTATCAGGATTCCACCTGTATTACTAATAATTTCAAAGGATCAGTCGGGGAATTGAACTGCCTAAACATCTTTTACGAAATAGTGGTTGCGACTTTGGTGATAATTTTTTTATACATTTTATCTTGTACCCAGGGCGGGCTTGCGACTAGCTGGTTTGGAGGTGACAGTGTTGTGAATGACCGAGGGTCCTCGACGTCTGTTCTCACCGTCCAACAGCGACTCTTACTCACGCTGCTATCTGGTGTTCACGAGGTGTTTTTCGAGCTGGAAACAGAGTGTCACTGTAAGTCTGTATCCCTGGTGATGTTTGTGCCTGGAGAGCTCCATTGAAGTGGTACTCTTGAGGCACAATATTCGTCAGCCTACTAAAGCTCAGTTGAAGAGGAGTGAACTCCCTGAAACACTGTGGATTGAGCAGGGAGTGGTGCTTTCTCCCGGTTTGCAGTGTGCTCTGGATGGCAGCCGTAAGTCGTCAGTCAAGTGTCAAGTCAATTCGACGGAATAGCGCGATCTCCAGTGTGGGAGTAAACCCATTCCCAAAAACCTTTTAGGCAGAGAAAAAAACAGTTTACATCCTCGACGGACCCTTCTAAATTTTTATTTTCTCCCAATCCTTTTAACACTTTCTTTCACTGCTCTGTGTACTAAAACGACACCACTGAACCTTTTTTTGTGTTCTAGAGTTTTGGCTGGGAATCAGCTCACTCGGCTACCAGAGGGATTGTTTCGAACAACTAAAGAATTATACGCGTTGTGAGTCTGGCCTGTCACCATTATTATGATTGATTTGAACATTATGGCTTCTACAAATGAGAGTCCTCTGGCTCGGTAGAGTGCTCAATATTCATTCCGCACGGTTCGAATAGAGCTATCTTACACATGACACAGAGCACCATGCATTGCTATCTTACACCCATGGCACACACAGCACCATGCATCATTCGTTGTAACTAATAACTTCATGCCCATAGGCAATCATCAGAAAACTAATACTGGATGAACAGCCAAGATCCAATTATATGCAGTAGTGTTACGGAGGCAGCGATTTGTGTAAG